CATGCCACAATTGAACAGTTTGTGATGAAAAATCATAACGACAAGTACTAGGCAAAATACTAGCATGCAAGCTAGGACCAGAGAAAGAAAAAGTAGGTGCAGGTGATGAAGATGGAGGTACTGGTGAAACTGAAGGTGGATCGCCTAGATAATACAATCCATCTCTCTCATGTCCTTTGATAATAATCCTCCTGGTACTCAAGTCCTGCAAATAACACGAATCAAATAAAAACACAACCGCACAGTGAAAATTTTTGGCTAATTGATGTACGGATAATAGATTTATGGCCAATTTTGGCGCATGAAAAATCGAATATAATGTAAAGCCATCTGGGAGGCGAACTGTACCCCTACTAACAATAGCGGCATGTGTCCCATCTGTTAGCTAAACTTGTGTATGTAATTGCTTGTCAACAGTGGTGAAGTGATGGGCCTCACCTGTCATATGACCATTCGCACCCGAGTCCAACATCCAAAGGGGAGACGGACTGGCGCAAGCATGAAAGACACGAGGTATACCTGTAGTGATGACAGTAGCAGTAGTCGAACCCTGAGAAGTCAGGACGGACATAAGTATATCCAATCGAGAAGTGGTAACATCCATATCACTCTGCCAAGGAGTAGCAGTAGGAGCAGCAGCAGTAGTTGGTACCTCAACAATAGCAACAGTACGACTGTGAGGAGGTGGCTTAAGCTCTGGATAGAGCTTCCAGCAAGTAGTCCTGAAATGTTCTGGTCAGCCACAATAATCACACTGACGAGAACCAGGAGGTACATTCCAGGTTGCAGTACTAACAGCAGAGGTCTCAACAGTAGTAGCCATAGCAATAATAATACGTGGGCACCCGTGATAGAAAAAACAACTCTAAGATAAATAGAGAGATAAAATAAAGGAGAACAATATACCTCCAGTCGAACAATAGCGACAGATAAAAAAGGTTAAGAAAACTCTTAAATAATCAGCTCACGGTGCCCAGAAATTCAGAAAATATAAATAATTGATCTACTGCATCAAGAGCAGATCATCAGATAATAGGATTCATCCCCTCTTTAAAAAGTCGGAAAAAAAAAGTAGTGGCGCAAAGAGATGGCAACACTACGGCAAAGAACGTGGCACACGAAGTTAAAACGCGAAGCTGCGACAAAGAGCGCGATCCGGCAGTGGGCTGGTTCGCTGGAGTGGGTTGGTTGGGCTTTGGGTGCAGTCGGCTTTGGGTTTTAGGTTTGTTTGGTTTTGTCGGCTGGATTCAATGGGTTGGCTTATTGGTTTATTGAGGTTCAGGGGGTGAGGCAGTCGGTTTTGTTCTGGGCAGTGTTGTCGGTGATGGGTTGGATATTTTTGGATTATCGGGTTTTGGGTTGGGCAGTGTTGTTTGTGATTCTTCTGGACAGTGTGTGTTGACTGGAGCAGAGGCAGTCAGTGGACTGGTTTGAGGAGGCAGTCGGTGTCGCTGCTGTTTTGTGGTTTAAGGCAGTATGTGTTGACTAGAGCAGAGGCAGTCGGTGGACTGGTTTGAGGAGGCAATCGGTGGACTGGTTTGTTTTGGGCAGTTGGTGGACTGGTTTGTTCTGGGCAGTGTGTGGGTTGATTACTGTCAGTGGATTGGTTTGGAGTTGCGGGGTTTTTGGCTGGGTAAGATTGCTGCCGGAGACAGTCGGTGGAGTTGGCTGTGTCTTTCGCTGGTTGTAATGTTTGGTTGAGGCTAGGGTTAGGGTTAGAGTTAGGGTTGTGGCTCTGATACCAACTAGAAATATTTGTGAGTGGATGGGATACTCAAACTAAGAGTAGAGCCTTGTATATATAGTCAAATAATAATACAAAGTGACTTAAACATCCTTGTGGTCTAGGCAAAATATAAAGTCATAGTAAGGGTTAAAAAGAGAAAAGAAACCCCTAATAAACTAGACTATACTCCAACAGGTTCCAAAAGGTTGTGAAAGAGCCTTCTCGCATGTTATTGAAATATGCTACAACACTGTTGTTATCACACAAATTGTTTCATGCTGTACATGGAATAGAAGAAAGGACATGAGATTATTGGCAGTTTGATTTGGTTTTGAAGCCCTACCAACTGCTAGCTCTTTTAGAGCATCCCTAACCTGCATGGGTTTACTACTGTTGAATGCAAACTAAGTTTTAAAACCCTAGTGGGTGCATAGTTGCATTTGTGAAATGGGAATTAGACGCTATTATTGATCCTTTGTTAAGTGCCAATGGCGGCTATTTAATGCAGCTACAAAATATTTTGTTCCAGTTACCATCCCATGGGATTTTATATGAGGAGAGAACTTGAAGATCTTCTTTTGGATTTGGGTCCTTTTAATGAGTGGTTGATAGACTGAGTAGTATATCTAATACCCGTTTGTTGATTCATGTATAGACTGCTCCACAGTGTGGCCTTACTCGCTTATAATTCAAAAACCACACATGCTGTAGGGTAGTCATAGGAGTGTGTGTGCTCTCTTGTCCTGGAATACTGCTCTATGCTTTTTGTGCTTGTCTGTCATTCTGTAGATATATAAACTACCATTTTTTGTTATTTTCACAGTTAAAGACAGAAAGCAAATGAAAAAAAAAAGCATCAAAATTAAAGTTTATTTGTGTAGGTATCATTGTTGAATTATATTTGCGCGTTTAATATTTGCGGCATAAACACTTGAATGCAGCACTGGGCTCCTGTGACCACTAAATTTATTTTCTTAACAACGCTATTTCCAACTGTTATGTTTTGTGCTTCTAGCTAATTCTCTTCTTCGATGTGAAAAACTTCCACTTGATGCTAAGAAAATAGCGATATATTTTGCAGTTTGAAGTCGGCATGAGGTATAAGATGAAATTCAGAACTTTGAGAGTTTAGATTTCTTTTTTGCTGTGTAGAGGTCGTAGTAGCAGCTTCGTATTTACTTCACATTCATTTCAGCGAGGAGGGAGCAGATTCTGACTGGTATTTTATCACTGGCTTCATCTTCCCTGACTGTTGTAATTACTCAAATCTGTAATACTTTTTACATAGTCACGTTAGTGTTTGGATGGGGAACATGCAAATTATATATCCTTATTATCGCCCACGGTTTACAAGGTACAGCTCTTTGTGTGTTTTTTATCTTGAGTAAAGCATAGGTTGGTAGTTCTTCATTAAGATTATTGAAACATTTTGTTAGTTCTTTTGTTTTTCACAGAAAAAGCCGTCCTGATGTTTGTTTGTTTTATTTATTAATTTATTTAAAAGAGAGTGAGGAATGAGAAAAAAACATTGGTGTTATTTGCTTTTGTTGAAGGAATTTATCATTCGTCGTTTCTTGATCTAAGACAAAAGTTATCTAGGATTTGGCTTCGGGTATCGAGAGATGGCTGGGAATTTCTCACGAAACGGAGCGAAGAATTCTCAGCCAAAAAAGTGTTCTCTGAGTGTGAAAGTCATTTTCCATCATACGGTTGTTTCCCTAACTATACTCTCGGCTTGGATTATATATCAGAACTTAAACATATTTTATTATTGCTACTGTTTCCTTTAGGTATACATTAGGGTGTTAGTTTTTTTCCACATATAAAGGGACTTCCGTGTTGATGTGCACTCAACCCATTACCAACTCAACCAGTCCATTTGTCACCTCTAATCTCCGACATAGAATTAAAGTTCTAACCCATTTTTTCCTTCTGCTATGTGAGAAATGGTGACATTTCTTGGGGGAGTTCTTTCATAGTAGGGTGAAATGACTGTAATTTGGGTTGTTTAAATAAGAAATTGATATGATTGAATCATTAGGTAGACCTAGCTAGGTTATTTGTTATGCTACTCTTTATGTTATGGAGTAATTTTTTTTTTTTTCCCGCTAATTGAAAATGGTATAAAGTGGCAACAAATATGAAATTGTGACTAGAACGTGATCATAACAGTTCTTACCTCCTCGGGAGCCCTTGAAAGGGAAACTCTGAGTTATTTAATTGTCGGACTTGCAATGACATGATAATTCCGTGGAGATGATGGCCCAAGCTAGAAAAGAAATATCAAGCTTGTTGATGCGATTTTCTCAACAATTTTTAGTTACTTTTACATAAAAATTACGGCCAAGAAGTTAAGAAAGAGATTATGATTAGGCCTGTAAACGGATCGAATTTGAATCGAATTATGACTGATCTGAATTCGTTTTCGATTTTAAAAGTCCAATTCGATAATTTGGATTTTATTTTTGAAGTCCATATCTAAATCCGTTAATAATCTAAAATCCATTCTGGTCTAAACAACTTAATTAAATTTTAATAAATTATATCTAAATTTCAACTTAATTTTTTAAATAATTACTTAATTTCTTTAAAATTTATATAAAAATATATAAATAATTTGAATCGAATCATAATCGGATCGGATATAAGTATATCCAAATTCAAATTCGTGAAATATAAGATATCAAATTTAGGTACGAGTTCAAATTATTGGTAAAAAAATATCAATCCATATCCGTTTAATAGAATTCAAATTCGAATCAAAATCTAATTTATTGACAAGTCTAATTATGACTACCCGCACCCTTGGCCACATGAAATGTTCGACTTTTTACCTAAATTATTGTCTATTTAAACTTTTTCTATTATCATGTTTAATTTATTTCTTAATCTACTGTATTTCACCTACGTTTTTTTAATGTAAAAGTGCAAGTTTGACCGACTTTTTTTAAAAAAGTTTTGTAATATCCACCCTTTTATGTAATCTACTTTTTCCATTTTTTTAACGGGAAAATAGAAAATAGGTGAAGAATTAAGATATTTTGGGGAATAAAGTCCAAAAATGGTGGTAATTCAGAAATTGATTATAATAAGATGTTCACCATGTTAGTCTAAAGTAGGCTGTCAAGTTACCCAAAAAAATATATCAATCATAACCACATTAGAAGATGATAACTCCTCAGAGTCAGGTTATAAAAAATGTATTCCTAATAAATATTCTAGTCCCGAGATAGATGGTATGTTTTTGACCAGATCGGGTAGAGGATTAGATAAGGTGCACATAAACTAGTCTAGACATTCCTAACCGTTGAATCAAAAAGAAACTGGGAATCCTCATGAGCTGTGAAGTACAAACTAAGATCAATAAATTTGAAAATATTACAAGCAAATTGAGAATAGGGTCTTGGAAAGTTGACATGTTAATTCTCAGAGAGTTTCTTGACAAAAGGCAAATGCAAAACATGACAGCAGTGAAAGCTTTCTCTGCTCTCGCATGCTTCACCCCTTCGATTCTAGCCAGAAAACCATTCCACAGATACTTCACGTATTTCTTTCTTTTTCGTTTTTTCATTGCTTCCATTTTTATTTTTGTTTCATTTTTCACTTACATGAAAAAATCTCTCTCCTCTCCCTCTCTCTCTAGAGAAGCTCCATATCACTGCATTATGAGAATTCACATTTTGGTTTTGCTTCATGTAAAATATATTTATGTGTATAGGTGTAAGAACATGGTATAACAGTAATGGCCTGCATCTCCTCTCCTTATAAACAATCTCAAATCAAAAAAAAAAAAAGATGCTCAAGTTTCTCCACATAAAGAAATATAATTTTGATTGGGAAAAATATCATCACCTTCTCTGTGAACACAATGCTTTCAAGTGTCCCACTTGCCAAGGCAGTACTCCCTGAATCTTTGCCAGCCTACATGATTGTTGGGTAATTAGCTGATAAGTTGATCGTCTTTCCCATGGGACAATCCCAAAATCATCGTTATACTCTTCCATTCCTCCAACCAGGAACTGCCAGGCAAAAGATCCCGCTCCAGATTTTTCATTCCGAGCAGATTTGTATATGATGTCAAAAACAGTTTTGTAGAACCTGTCTCGTTGGGATGGTTCGAAATCCCTGTTCTGGTTGGACAATCCAAATTCAGTAAACATGACAGGTTTCTTAAGCTCTTTGTCACCATCTTCAATATGAGAAGTCATCCATTTTGAAACAAATTTTAGTTTGTCTTCAAGTTCTTGGACGTGAAACCTACCAAAAAGAACAAAATAACCATATTTTTCAGTTAACAGCAAACAGGAAAAGATGACGGGCGTGTTGTGAATATGGTGAAAGTTTGAGAGAGCTAGAATAAATTTTGCATCAACCATCAACAATGAAACGATAACCATGTTAAAATTGAGAGCGAAAATTCAAATGTATAATACAAGCCGATGTTATTGGCAATCCCAAAGCAGCCTTTAGTCATTCATTCAATGGTTTATGATCGTGCAGCAATTTGACCTTCTGGACTGCCAATACTCGGCTGACTTGATTTTTTAGTTAACATACAGCCTCATTTTTTTTTCTTTCCAATTTTGGCTTTTGAGGCAGGCAGCTAAGCTTCACAAATGTTGGTCCTAGGTCTCTGCTTCCCTTCAGATTTTCATTATGCTGTATTTGGTGCTAACAAATAGCGTGCTTTGGAATATCATCTTAGTTCACAGTTAAGACTACATTTTCTTCAATTTAAATTTCATTTTGCCGGATTCACTGAGCCCTAACACAGGATTAGTTTATTTATGATCCTTGACAATTCTAAAGTAGCACACGATGAAAATCTTACCAGTGATCAGGGTAAATATGGACCGAAGCAAAATCAACAGTCGAAATCTTAGAGTTGCGAATAAAATCGGATCCAAGTTCTGCCGCCCAAAATTCTGGGTTCACAGTTAACCTTTTGGCATCCTTAGGACCATAGAATCCTTCAAGGCCAACAGTAAGTAGATGTTTACTGTCAATTGATTTAACAAAGGTGGACATTTCTTCTATCCAGTCCTGCAATTGTATGAGATCAAATTAGTTCATGCTTCGATAGAAATTGAGCAACAAACGGAGCAGATTATCTATAAACGAATAAAAGAATGGAAAACACAAACACACACCAACGTCCAAACCCTCACATGGTAAACTTATCTACACCTAGAGAATTGTTGGCAGAAAGGTTTTTCTCCATGAGATGAAAGGTCAGTTTAAATATTAAAAGAACCAAATATGAAGCACATGCGAGTTCAAGAGGGTCCCTACAAAAAGTACAGTTCTGATTTAAGGATTTAAACAACCTTGGCCAGAGCTCTGCTTCTTTACTGGTACAGAGAATATCACGGCATAGTATCATTAGCAAGTGAAAGGGCGTTTCACCAGACACCAACCGGAAACTTAGAAACCCACTCAATTGGTATCCCAGCTGTGAAGTGTCGAGGGGGCAACCAAAGGAATGCTATCCCTGGCATAATACTTCACCCTACTGATGGTTTGGATGGGGATTAGAATAAACATGTTTCAGGGTCAAATCGCCCATGGAAAATGTAAATTATTGGATAAAGCAACATCTGAACCAAAGTCTAAAATTCTACTACTAAAATTACAATAGACATCAGAAAATTAGAAATTTGTATGTATTTGTATCCATTGATAGAAATTTAAAACCACGTAAAATAACTCGTATCCTTCTCAAGTGCACATTCATCAGGATTAAAATGATCTAAGGAAATTGCAACTTACTTGGAGAGAGTTGCCCGAGGCATCAGTCATGCAGCGGGGTTCATTAATTAACTCCCATGCAAATATGGTGGGATCATTCCTATATTCAATCCCGGTAATGGTATTCTTCCTTGTCAGCACAGTCTACCACAAAAAGACAAAGAAACTAACCATAATTGGTAAAAATGTTGCAGCAATATCCTCATTAATATCTGGGTAGTAGTAGAATGATGCCTTCCAACATCATTTCTGCAGAAAATTAACTGAAACAATGATGCAAGGATTCATGCTTTTGAAACCCAAAAAAAAAAATGATAAAAAGGCATTTCTTAAGATTGGTGGATTAATTTCTAAAAACTAACGGACTGCTTGAACTACTATGAAACTCATGCACACATCCATGGGCTCACACACAATATTTCCTTTCGATTTCTTTATGGTGTGGTGTGTTCAGGGTAGAGTATATGGTGGGAAAGCATAGTCTCTATCTCTTTAGTTATCCAAACACTGCAGTTTGTCCTTATCCCAACAACCATAACATTCACACCTCCCTTTAAGTGTACTGAAAAATGTCAGCATGTTTTACCAGCACCTTCTAATCATTTTTCCTCGGCCATTTTTGGAAAATACCTGGATTTACAGGTACGATGTGCTTCTTAACATACTCCCTGATTGATCCCTCTTCCTGAATTTCAAAATATGACATTGCATCTAGATCTTTGGCTGTGATGAATTAAAATAATTTTCCAGCCATAAATGGAGATTCTTGTTAGTCCCGTAATCATGCAAAAACAGGCATACTTTCCTGTAACATATTCTTGTGAATCATTAAAGTTATGAGATCTTGCAGTTGCATGATAATTGAAGAGTTACCTCAGTCCTTGATGGTGCTCCCTAACTATTTTTTTTAATTCATTGACGGATCTCCAACAATGCGGGTGATTTGATTAACACTAATTCTATTAGGATATAATTTGGTGACGTAATGAATTGTCCTCAATAGATTGATAGTGAAATGCATTTAATGATGAGTCCCATTATAGTATTAAATGCATTCCCCTATCAATCTATTGGCGACAACTCATTTTGTCCATAAATTATGCCCCAATAGCATTACTCTTTGATTAGTAGGGATTCCTTTTGCCTACAGGCCGTTGGGTCATTCCATGAAAACATAATGTGCCATAGAGTAATCGATATTGCTGTCAGCATTTAAATGGACCTACTTGCATCCTGAAACCTTATCGTTAATAAAGACATTATGGAACTTCCATGAACAGCCTCTTTTCTACTTAGTCTTATTAGGATCATACACATTCCATAAACTGCTATCCACTTGTTATCTTTTCATGTCCCCCAGCTACGTATTTGATATGAAAAACATCTTGATATTATTCNAACTAACGGACTGCTTGAACTACTATGAAACTCATGCACACATCCATGGGCTCACACACAATATTTCCTTTCGATTTCTTTATGGTGTGGTGTGTTCAGGGTAGAGTATATGGTGGGAAAGCATAGTCTCTATCTCTTTAGTTATCCAAACACTGCAGTTTGTCCTTATCCCAACAACCATAACATTCACACCTCCCTTTAAGTGTACTGAAAAATGTCAGCATGTTTTACCAGCACCTTCTAATCATTTTTCCTCGGCCATTTTTGGAAAATACCTGGATTTACAGGTACGATGTGCTTCTTAACATACTCCCTGATTGATCCCTCTTCCTGAATTTCAAAATATGACATTGCATCTAGATCTTTGGCTGTGATGAATTAAAATAATTTTCCAGCCATAAATGGAGATTCTTGTTAGTCCCGTAATCATGCAAAAACAGGCATACTTTCCTGTAACATATTCTTGTGAATCATTAAAGTTATGAGATCTTGCAGTTGCATGATAATTGAAGAGTTACCTCAGTCCTTGATGGTGCTCCCTAACTATTTTTTTTAATTCATTGACGGATCTCCAACAATGCGGGTGATTTGATTAACACTAATTCTATTAGGATATAATTTGGTGACGTAATGAATTGTCCTCAATAGATTGATAGTGAAATGCATTTAATGATGAGTCCCATTATAGTATTAAATGCATTCCCCTATCAATCTATTGGCGACAACTCATTTTGTCCATAAATTATGCCCCAATAGCATTACTCTTTGATTAGTAGGGATTCCTTTTGCCTACAGGCCGTTGGGTCATTCCATGAAAACATAATGTGCCATAGAGTAATCGATATTGCTGTCAGCATTTAAATGGACCTACTTGCATCCTGAAACCTTATCGTTAATAAAGACATTATGGAACTTCCATGAACAGCCTCTTTTCTACTTAGTCTTATTAGGATCATACACATTCCATAAACTGCTATCCACTTGTTATCTTTTCATGTCCCCCAGCTACGTATTTGATATGAAAAACATCTTGATATTATTCCAAATTTGAAAGTAACTCAAAAGCCTCGTGCATATTATCCAATTTTTTGTAGATGTCCAACTGGAGAAAGCTTCATGAAGTCCTGATTTGAGTTTATAGTTCCCACACAGGAACTTCAAAACTGATGCATAAGAAATTTATCATTGGAAGGACAGAAACTGTTGAGATGAATAGTTTACCTTGACGTAGTTCTTGAAATACCGGCGGATGAAGGGATCATAGAAGAAGGAATCATTAGATGAGCTTAAAGCAACGCCTTCTTCCCAGGCCCATTCGACATACTGAGTTTTCCCACCATATGCATGTAAGTTATTAACTAAACTAAGCAGTAGCCTAACACCGTGTTTCCTGGATTCAGCAATTACATGATCCAAAGCCTGCTTCATTATCGAGACATATGAAAAGTGCAACATGGAGAAAAAGAATAGTAAGCGATTGTACTTGTTGAGACTTGCAAAAAGTTTAACATTCATACAACAATATGCTAGCAATTTTCAAAACCACGATAAAGTGAAGGCTTTTAACATTGCATCAGACGTACTTATGGATTGGCAGAAGAAGTTGAACAAAGAACATAATTTAATACACAATCAAGGATTGGTGAAATAAAGAAAAAGATGTTCAAATGAACCACATGTTTCAAATTGGTTTCTTTTATTCATAGCCAAATTGAGAGTCATAAATAATTTTGTCAAAATATCAGCGCCTTAGGGGTAAAATTTAAGAGACCTTCCCTGCATATAAGAAGAATAGCAATGCTTACTTGACTTAAAACTTCAACTATTTCCCCTGACTCAACTCTTAATTAAACCAGATATTTCCAAACAAACAAAGCGTATACAAAATGTACAGGCAGATCCAATTTCTATTAAATTTTCTTTCTTTCCATATTTATCTTTCACCTTGCTTCATTTTCATTGAACTTATGTCTAGACTACACAACTGAAACTTCCACAAGAGAAACATATAAAATAACTATGGAAAGGTTATCAATTGTTGCAGAAAAGTATTTACCCTGAACACTCGCTCGTTGAATTGACCAGGGGAAATCTGGAGGGCATTATAGGCACCATCATTGAAGGCCCAAGCTCGACACACAGTGAGACCCATCTTGGCTCCGGCTTGCAGCATTTCTCTGACCCTGGGTTTCCTCAATTCATCCACAGCATTGTCCATCATCCAATAGGAGTTCCACCCATTAATGTAGAAGACTCTACCATCCACCATGAAATGAGTTCCATTCCTCTCCACAAAACTCAATTTGGGTTCTTCATGGAAATTGACCCACAGGTCACCAAAAGACAAGTAAATGAATACAACACATGATGCAAAACCAATGATTGGGTAAAATAATCCGTTTCCTCCTAACATTCTGTTTATTGATGGCTTAACCATAACATGAAGAACAAAACAAATTCTTGATTACCCTATGAGATTCAAATTACAAACTGTCAAAATCACTGATACCCACAAGTGATTTTGGCAATTTGGATCCACTTAGCTTCCAGATCTTTGGTACCCAGATGGAGACAAGATTTTTGAAGACACCCAGATCCCCTTCTGGAAAGAGTACCTCAACAATACCTTGGAAGAGAACCAAAGTCGAAGAATCAGCAATGTGCTTTCAGTATATGAGTCACCCGTATGAAACTGCATCAATTTTCTTCAGCTTTCTATTGGAGGGATGGGGAATGGGGAATGGGGGTTGTATGTTGCTGTCCTGAAATAATGAAACTTTATAGAGGGATTTGAATCCTACAAGGTTGATGCTGAAAATGAGGGAGGGTGAGACTAAATGATAGTGAAAACACACGGCAAACCTAACAAGTTACCCATCAAACCAGTCAGAAATATAAGAAAAAAATTATGAGAAAATCACACTTTGGCCCCCTCAGTTATGCCTCTATCTCACTTTGCCCCATCCGGGTTTCTGACATTATAACTTCTAACTAAACTTATTGATTTTACACGATATAGACATTCTCTGCCCCAAAACACGATGATCGCTAATGCATTGTAAAACCAATTCAAGTAATCGTGAAAGTAATACAAAGCACGTGATAATTAGGGATAAAATAAAATAGGAATATAGTTAAAAGATCAAAAATATTGTTGGCCCAAAGATTAATTAGGGGGGAATGTAGAGTGTAGTTGGATGTCGGTATCAGATGTCCCTTGATTACAGATCTAAGCTGTGGTTCTCTCAGCTTGCCTTCAGTTTTAATATTCTAAAAGGACCAGTCATACCACACTCTTGACCAATGTCTGATTTAATTCTCCTACTTTTTACAACCACACTTTAAGGCTATTTGACGTGGGTCTCCCTTACCTTAATACTAATTTTATTTGGGTATTTATTTTCATTTAAAGTGGAATGTCTTGGCCTCACTAAACATAATCATCAGTGCATTATTCTCAATTGATGTTCTTAGTTCCATGGCCTGGCCTCTTCTTCCTATTCTCTCACTAGTTTAGTGAGAGAATAATGACAAATGAAGAACAATGACAAATGAACGTTCATGCCCCAGCTACCTTATGCAGCAGTATATGAATATATAAATGGAGCTTAGGTACAGTAAATTTCTAGTTTTGGCTAACCAAAAAATTTAGAAGTAGATGTGATATTGCATAAAATTAAACAAACAAGCACATGCAGATAATCAACCGGCCACGTAGCTGGAATTGAAAGACTTTTGGAATATATCAATTTATTCTCGCTTTTGAAATAAAATAAAGTAAAACCTAAATGGTTAGAGAGTATCTATGATTCTGTGCATAACCCACGAAACCAATCCCTTCGAAACCAACCCGGAAAAATTCTCTGCCAAACCCCCCCACCCCCCTCTTTTTCCAAAACCTACCCCAAAGCAAAACCTATACCCAAATAATGAGACAGAATCAACAATTTCTACATGGGCGTCTATATATTTTATGGGTTTTTGTGACTTTAAACTTTAAAGAGAACAAGCAGAGGTAAGAATAAAGAGGTAGAGGAAGAGATAGTGAAACTGACTTGGGGGAGAGCCTCAATAACGTTGTTGTGGGAGTGATTTGAAGTAGAAAAATGTTTAATGGAACTGTAGCAGACAAATGATTGATGGTTTGTAAAAACGTTGTTGTGGGAGTGATTTGAAGTGAAAAAATGCTGAATGGAACTGTAGCAGACAAATGATTGATGAGCTTTCGACCCATATCAAGTGGTTGTAAAAAATTATTTATAAAAGTGGGTGGGTTTGAAAATATTTTTCAAATTCAGACAGTTCATTTGGTCCGATATTTTTAAGTCAAAAGATGTTAGTTGATCTGACATTTTTAATCTAAAGAAGTCAGTCCAAATAACGTTTTTAACCCAAAAGAGTGACCCTAATAAATGTGAGTTGGTTAGACGTTTCTTTAAACATCTCAGTCCGACTAACTAACGTAATTAAAAATATCAAACTAATTCTTTTAACATAGGACATCACTCCACCGATTTTATTGAAATTGGAGTTAGTGGAAATCACTTCACTTGATTTAGACATCACTCTAACTTATTTGGGTAATTATCATAAATGACCCTTAAATTTTCTTTCGGGTTTTAATGTAATTTGTAAAATTTTAATTCTTTTAATTTAATCCATCAATTATCAATTTTATTTTAATTAAATCTTTTCATTAATTTTTATCGTCAAATCAAGGAGATTAGCCTAATTTGAAAGTTGAGGAACTAAAATAAGACAAGTGAAAATTCATGAATTAAATTAAAATTGGAGGTAAAATTCATGACTAACTATGAAATTTATCCTGTTTTTTTATAAAATATTAAAAATTATGCTAAAATAGAGCATAATTTTTAGAGTACTCTATTTCATGTCGTCTTGATCGTTTTCATGCACTCGATTATGCTAAAATAGAATGGTAGAGATAATTCCTTTAGAAATTAAATATGTTTTTTATTATTGATTTGTTTCGATCTCCTTGAAAACGAAAATATTTCGGACGTTTCGAAATAATATTTTGATCCTTGTATGGACCATTCCTATGAAGGACGTGTCCCTATCAAACAACTTGCAGCCATGGTTGCTTCTTCTCATATCAGTTCTGACAATCAAACTTGGTACACTGATAGTGGGGCTTCAAACCATACTACCTTTGATCTTGCAAATTTACACATTCATAATGAGTACTCGGGCAAGGATCAAGTTGCAGTTGGAGATGGGTCAGGTTTGCATATATCACACATTGGCTCTTCTCGAATCCATCATAATTCTTCCCATTTCTATCTGGATAATATTTTACATTATCCTTCAATTTCAGCCAATTTGTTATCTGTTAATCAGTTCTCCACAGATAACCATTGCTATTTTGTGTTTGACTCTAATGGTTTTTGTGTCAAGGAAAAATCCACAGGGAAAATGTTTTTTCCAAGGCAAGAGTGATCATGACTTTTATCCCATCAATTTGCTTCAGTTTCAAAATAAATCAAACCATCATAATACCAAAAAAAAAAAAAAAACACATACACACACTCTCACACACAAAAACACATACACATTATAAAAAATACACAGATACTAATACAACAAAATACACACAAATGCGCATATTAATATACCAAAAAATACACATACACAATCTAATATACCAACACACATGGACATACATACACACGCACTCTCTACTACACCAATAACAACCAGAAAATAGTATACCAACACACACATACATACGCTAATAACACGCACAAACACTCGCAAAAAATACACCAAAGGCACACCCAAACCCACACCCGTATTAATACACACACACTAATACACAAAAAAAAAAAATGCACATGTTATGTAAATAAATAGTCTACTTCCATGTGGCGTGAGAGTTTGAATAATGATGCAACCAATGAAATTTAATAGCAACTACGTTTAAAAAATGATTAGTGTGTGTGTGTATGTTTATTTTGTTGAATTAGTGTGAGTTTGAACCCATGCCCACAAACTAGATGGGAGAAGGCTTGACAAGTCTTCCCTCTCCATTTTCTTTTTTTATAGAATTTTGATTTCTTTAATTTGACAAATATGATTCCCTCAAACCAATTCCTTACACGTGCATCTTTTTAAAACTCCACAACATAACTGTTTATTTCTATAAAGTTACCTACTGCAACTCAATTTTTTCCCCTCCTACTTTCCATGTCTGGCATTATTTCTAATCCATTCTCTCTTCTTTTACCTCAATTTTTTTTCCTCACTCATTTTTGCTTCTGTCTAACAAAAATATATTATGTTCTAAACATTATTCATATTTTTTGTTGAATAATCGAGCACGGAGACACTGCTATTATTATACTAGCAAACAAATCAGATGAAAAAAAGTCTCAGATTTAACACTTTTTATACTTCTTAAAGGTTAGTTACCTTTATTCTTCAAAGAATATGTACTCGGCGAATTATCGGCACAAGTCTAAACACCCTGTAACAAAAATTAAAAAATAGGTAAAAAGGTCTTGGATGCCTTCTCACCATATTTCTTAATTTTTTTGAATTTTGAATTTGTAAATTGAAAATCAAAAGTTTCTTCCAATGATATACCACCACGTGTCACTTATAGCTACCCCTCTCCACCTCCTCCATTAACGACCCGCTATTTATTTCAAATTTACTTTTACATGCTAATAACTTTCCCAAATTATTTATCTAACCCTTAAGATCATTGATAAGAGTGAAAGAGGGAAGAAAGATGAGAAAATAAAATTGAAAAAAATGGAGTGGCGAGCTGCTAGTAGCTCTCTTATTTCTGTGCAAAATTGTCAATTTTGCTTTCTAAAACAACAGTTAGTCCGGCAAACCTCTCCTTCACTCTCTTTGCCAGTAAGTACTCTCATTGGGTTTTGTAAGACAANGACAAACAACCTCTCCTTCACTCTCTTTGCCAGTAAGTACTCTCATTGGGTTTTGTAAGACAAATTGCTTGGATGTTATGCTGTTTTCTTCCTCCTAAAGTGTTCTCTTTGATTTTTACAACATACACCCAAGACAATTTTCTTATTAGCAGTAAGTTGTGGAGACTACTACGAAATCTTTTGCCTTCACACATGTCCTTTCAATGCATAAGATTTTCAGTCTCTGCGTGGCTGCTTCTTTATTGAGTTGGGGATGTCTTTCATTTCTTAGTCAATGGGGATCGGACTTATAAATTATGTTCATGATGCAATGTACGTTGTTACAAATCTGCATTTACTTATTTTTGGATTGAAAACTTACATACATTTAACCTTTACTAGATATTGAACGTGAATTATTTTTGACAATAGTTTTAATTTTATATTTATCATATCGGTATATAGATTAATTTATTCAGCATTGGAATATTATCAAAAATTGCCTCAAAATGTGGTTTTTGTAATTTATGGGTCATATTTTATAGTTTAATTATAAATATGGTAAAATACATTGACCACATACCCACACATACCTAACATAACAATCTCTTCTTTCAAAGTTTAAAGATAATTAATGATCAAATCAATTTGGTCTAGTGTAATTGACAACTCTTTGATCTCTTAAAGACTAAATTAGCTAAAAAGTCAAGCGGACAATTCTTTCCAAATGTAAGACTTAGTTTTTTATGTCGTCATTTTTTAGAATTCTATTATCTCCTATTTCAAATTTTTCTTTAACTCTCTGTAATTTTTTTTATTTGGATGTATTATGCTAAACCTATAATATTGATTTACCAATGAATACTCCTATTAGGTGAATACACAATTTTATTTATCAACAATATTTTTTAATGTGAAGTAGTCACTTGACACATTGNTTGGACTTATAAATTATGTTCATGATGTAATGTACGTTGTTAAAAATCTGCATTTACTTATTTTTGGATTGAAAACTTACATACATTTAACCTTTACTAGATATTGAACGTGAATTATTTTTGACAATAGTTTTAATTTTATATTTATCATATCGGTATATAGATTAATTTATTCAGCATTGGAATATTATCAAAAATTGCCTCAAAATGTGGTTTTTGTAATTTATGGGTCATATTTTATAGTTTAATTATAAATATGGTAAAATACATTGACCACATACCCACACATACCTAACATAACAATCTCTTCTTTCAAAGTTTAAAGATAATTAATGATCANGACCACATACCCACACATACCTACCATAACAATCTCTTCTTTCAAAGTTTAAAGATAATTAATGATCAAATCAATTTGGTCTAGTGTAATTGACAACTCTTTGATCTCTTAAAGACTAAATTAGCTAAAAAGTCAAGCGGACAATTCTTTCCAAATGTAAGACTTAGTTTTTTATGTCGTCATTTTTTAGAATTCTATTATCTCCTATTTCAAATTTTTCTTTAACTCTCTGTAATTTTTTTTTATTTAGATGTATTATGTTAAACCTATAATATTGATTTACAAATGAATACTCCTATCAGGTGAATGCACAATTTTATTTATCAACAATATTTTTTAATGTGAAGTAGTCACTTGACACATTGGTATATATGTGCGCTGCACGTGGACAAGTTTAATTTATACTAATGATGTTATTTCTTATCATTATGTTGAAATAATTAAATATACACCTACGAATAAAAGTATATGTTCTTTGATACTTGTTGTATGGATATATTATATGTTGTTATGTGTTCCAACTACAATAATCTTTCAAGGAGTTAGACTACATGCTGAATTGATTACTTCAAGATTGATTGATCACCCCATGAATACTGGAAAGCTAATTGAGACTATACGTTTTTGTGTAGTAATTCTACTATACTTGCTAAGAGTTCATAATTATTGGTTGCATGAATCGCGGTGATACAAACTTTGCAAGAGAAAAGTTTGATAAAATCACCACAAAAGATATTGTATTTATATAAGATAACAGGATAATCAAGTAAATCATCATAACACACATTCAAATATAGATCAAGAGCGAGTTGCAACTTTAAGTTCCATTCAAACCTATAGATAGAAGACGTACATGTTTCAGCTACANCATGGTGATACAAACTTTACAAGAGAAAAATTTGATAAAATCACCACAAAAGATATTGTATTTATATAAGATAACAGGATAATCAAGTAAATCATCATAACACACATTCAAATATAGATCAAGAGCGAGTTGCAACTTTAAGTTCCATTCAAACCTATAGATAGAAGACGTACATGTTTCAGCTACAAAGATTTGTTTCTTCCGCAACATTTGTCTTGAGGGATTAGAATTTTGGAAATTTCCCAAGACTAACTTATCTCTAATTAAAGAAATTTAATTCTAGATTCATTGTTAGATTTATTTTAATATATAAAATATTATTAACTAATAGAAAGTTCAAAGTCAGATTTTTAATGGGCTTGACTTTGTATACATTTTATAAGTTATTGTTATAACTTGATATTTACTCTCAAGAACTCTTAGGACTTGTTTGCACTATTTCTATAATCTGTAAGGTCTACAACTTAGATAAGTTAGAACACATATTAGACCAATGAAAAAATTTAGTTTTATTTTATGAATCCATAAAAAAAAAAAAAAGAGAAATCAATTAGGGTCATCTTTGGATTAAGGATAATATTGATTTTATATTATTGTTAAATCACAGTTATAAAATTATAATATAGACTTTATTAAATTGTGATGGAATAAAATTAGAAAATAAATTTATTTTTTTTATGTCCATAAATTATGTCCCAATAGCATTAGTGTTATAAATAATATGTTGGTAATCATTAAATTTGTAGGTTTCTTTAAGGATACATAGTCAAATTTTTATGATTTAAGCCATAAGTGTTCATATATTTATTTAAGGACAAAATATAAACTCAAAAATTTTAAATGAAATTATTAGTGTGAGGTATAATTGTCCTTATAATTTTGTTTAAGGGTAAAAGAGGAATTCAAAAATTTTTCATCTAAGATATTTTTATTAGTAATATAGATATAGATAGGATGACTCAATACACTTCCAATTTTCCTTTCCATTGTGGAACCTCTATTATATTCCATGCCCATTNTTCCCAAGACTAACTTATCTCTAATTAAAGAAATTTAATTCTAGATTCATTGTTAGATTTATTTTAATATATAAAATATTATTAACTAATAGAAAGTTCAAAGTCAGATTTTTAATGGGCTTGACTTTGTATACATTTTATAAGTTATTGTTATAACTTGATATTTACTCTCAAGAACTCTTAGGACTTGTTTGCACTATTTCTATAATCTGTAAGGTCTACAACTTAGATAAGTTAGAACACATATTAGACCAATGAAAAAATTTAGTTTTATTTTATGAATCCATAAAAAAAAAAAAANAATTGAAGCATAAGAAATAATTGCCCTCAAGGATAGATTGCACCACTTGGAGAATTAATTTCGGTGCAACATATCAATGACGTCTACCCTCCACGATACCACAATCGCTTCTCACAAACATGCATTCATTGTGTGAGGAGCCAGGAACAACTTTGATTTAGAATGCCCAAAAAATATTTAGAGCACAAAATAAGAGAGTGAATATAGACATATTATCAATGGATCTTTGGTCCAATAATACTTTTTACCTTGTGAAGCCTTTATCTTCTAAAAGTCAAGGGTTCAAGCCCTCTTCCACCCCTCCCTTCCCCTCCAAAAAAAAAAAAAAAGACTTGTAGTGTTAAGTCCGTGCAGTGCAATAGTTTTTAGACTAAAAGACTTTTTGTACTTTAACCAATGTGGGATAGAAGTAAAGGAGAAAGATGGCACGTGGGTACAAGGGCATTTGACTTTTGAAATACACTTTGCTAACTCAAGATTTATAGCAAGACAATGACGACAAGAGAACAGGAATGGGGAAAAAAAAAAAGAGGGGAAGAGATATGAGAGTGATAAAAGATGGTTAAGTGTAGTTGACGAGGATGAAGAGTTATGAGTTATGATGATACTAAAAATTGGCTAAGATTGAGTTCGGATCACGTAGCTCATGATAAGTAGTAAAGAGTGTGCAGGTCGGTAATCTTTAGCAACGAGATCCTCGTGGGCATGATGAGAGCGATAGCTAACACCTTTCAAAAGACTACATGTAACTCGTAACGGCCCAACATTCTGATAGATTAGTCACAACCGTCTTAACACTATCAACATTGATTATGCAAAGAGAGTGTCGATTACAAGAAGATGACAAGAATCACGCAAGGCAATCATGCAAAAGCATCTGAATACTATAAAAAAGGGTCAAATCCCTCGCAATGTATTCATGCAATTGTATGCATAATTACCTTGTGTAATCTTCTCCTTTAATTAATAAAAAAATTTCTTAGGAGTAAGACACCCTATTAGAGTGGATTAATCGAGTTTTTTAAGCCGGTGAACTATTGTAAACTTTTTGACTACTATACTTTAAATTATGTTGCCTATCCCCAAAAAGCCCAAAAGCCCTGACCGGACATTTTAGTGATTCTCAAACCTCTAGATAACACGTGTCTGTTCAACTGTAAGAAAGAAATAGTGTTAAATCTGCATGCTTTTTTCTCACCAACCTCTTCAGCACATTACTCTTATTTGTCACCTACCTCTTTACCACATCACTCTTGTTTGTCACCTGCCTCTTTACCACACTCTTGTTTACTTGCGAATTTCCGTCCGTAGTGTCCGCCTGAACATGGATGGCATCATCTATATTCTATACTTGGTGACGCATCGACTTGCATGGGAATTTCACATGGAGTGTAATTGCCAGGCCACAGCTATAAAAGGAGGGTTTAAGTGAGAGACATATACACAACATATATTCAGTGAGCAAAGCAAGAGAGAAATAGTATGGAGAGTAGTAAGATGGTTGTTTTTGTGCTGGTGGTGTCCATGGTGCTTGTGGCCACATTTGCTCCGTTCGCCTTTGCCCACTGTCGGAATGAACTTCCCTCTTCTTCCAATGGAGTTACAGTAATTAATAGTAGGGTTTCCCTCTCAAAGATAATGTGGGAAGGTGGAGTCAGCAGAAATGATGGTTGTTCCGGTTCCTCATGCAATATCCTCAATGACCCTTGTTGTCCCGGTTGTTCTTGCCTTCCCGTTGCCCTTCTGGTTGGAGTATGCGTTGGGGGGTGTTGCTAGGTGTACTTGTATGTCAAGTCGTCGACTACCAATACCAAACGATGATCTAAATATTTCTATCATAAAATAAAGTTAATCGTTCCTGCCTATGTTTGGTTGTGTGTTCGTGTCTATGTTTTGTTGTGTCTATGTTCGTGTCTGGTGGAAGCTATGACTTCTATACTTTGAAATAAAGTAGTGTCCATCTTATGTGTGTTGTATTTTTCTTATCTAATAAAAGGTATGAATTTATGTCTTGCTGCTTTTTATTTTTTGGCCTGCCTCTCTATACAAAAGTGTCATGCACGATGATAATTTCTCTATCAATGCATTTTTAAATTTAATAATAGCAAACATTTTTTACAAGCTGAATTCAAAAATAAGTATTTTTAAGATTCGCAAATTTAAAATAAAGTCTCAGATTTGGACGGCAGATCACTGCAATTTTTTAAATTTTAGACTTCATTTAATATTTTAAAAAAATTTAAAATTTTTGTTAACTTGCCTATATTATGATAACTGACATGAATCCACTTGACACAATTTTAGCCATTTTCAATGTGACATATTTGCGTGGTCACATGTCGCATATAAAGCGTATAATCAAATGAGTTATGCTACTTGGTCAATGATTTAGGTCCCAAAAAAAATAAAAAAAGTCCGAATAACATTGTTCATGTTGTATGTCTATTTTTTATTGACAATTGTATACACCAAATTATACCATTTGCCTAGTTATTCTATGAATAGTCATGACTGTTAAGGTTTAACAGTTAGTTAATTAATAGATTTTTAATATTTTTGAATTTTTTAAAAATTAGCACTTTTTTTTTCGGGGTGTAAAAATTGGCATTTAGATTCCAAGATCTGTAACTTTTCAATGATGACTGTTGTTGTTGACTTTACATTTTGCATCAATGACACATAATAGAAAAATTCAAAAGACTCAACCACTTGCACAACAACTAGGAATGTCAGTGAAGCACAGCGAAGGCGAGGAGTATAGTCTTTATTTTTGTATTTGTTTAAAAAAAATTTGTTCATTTTTGATTCACTTTTGTTAATGGATATAATTTTCATCTCCATCTCCGTCCGTGAGTAAATTTTTAATCTTCGTACCCGTCCAAGCTCAAGCTCAAGTCCAAGTCCAAGTCCAAGCCCAAGCTCAAGCCCAAGTAGCATAATCCAAAATTTTAAATAAATTCAATATTTTAAAAAATTAAACAATATTCTAAATAATCTAACACAACATAATGTAGATTGCAAAATTTAAAAGCCAAAACAATATAGCATTCTATTTAAAGTGTTATTGAACCATAAAAAGAGAAACGAAACTATTAGAAAGAAAGGAAAAAAAGGAAAATAAAATTCAACTAAGAAACGATTGCACTATACTTGAAGTTTTCTAGAAGAATTTTTGTTATTACAATTCATATTACAACTTTTATCAAAAAAAAAAATTCATATTACAGCCATAAAGTGTTAAAAGATGAAAAATTAAAATTTCGTTAATTTAATAATTCTTCATATTTCTTAGTTCACTCTAACAGAAAAACTCATCAACCTCTATTCACAATATTTCTACCCACGATGAAATGCAAAATTGTCTTACTCTCTCTTATCTGTTTTTAGAGCATGGTAAATTCAAACTCCTAACAGTTTCAATCAATGAGCACAAATAGAAAAAAAAATAATCAGGAAAAAAAATTGATAAAATTACCACATATCAATGCCACTTATTAGTTTAATTACCATATGTCTAGATTGGTAGTTGCAGTAAATATATTTACTTAGGGTTTGAAAGTGTATATATATATATATCACGGGTAGTGGAGGCGGGGCAGGGGGAATGGTAAATTCATCCCCGCCTTCATTCCCGTACGAGTTTATACGGGTATCCCTGTATACGTCCACCGTTCAATATATATAATCTATTTTTGGTTCAAACTAAACGAGTTTAGACGAATATCTATTTTTTTTCGATCCATTGTCATCCTTACTCTGGGAAACTTGCGTCCCCTATGATCCATTTAGTGTATGCCTTGGGAACTGTTGATAGGTGTACTTGTATGTTAAGTCGTCAATTATTAATACCAAAAGATGGTCTAAATATTTTTGTCATAAAATAAAGTTATTCGATTGGTTGGTGGAAGCTATGACTTCTATGCTTTGAAATAAAATTGTGTCCGTTTTATATGTGTTGCGTTTTTCTTATCTAATGGAAGGTATGGATTTATGTCTTGCTAATTTTTTTTTTTTGGCCAGCCTCTCTAAACTAAAGTGTCACGCACGATGATAATTTCTCTATCAATGCATTTAAAATTTAATAATAACAAAAATTTTTATAAATTGAATTAAAAAATAAGTACGTTTTAAGATTCATAAATTACAAATAAAGTCATAGATTTGGAGGACAGATCATCGAAATTTTTAAAATTTTAGACTTCATTTAATATTTTTAAAAAATTTAAAGTATTTGATAACTTGCCCCACTATGCAAGCTGACATGAATCCACTTGACACAATTTGAGCTTGTTTTTCTTGATACAATTTGAGCTTGTTTTCTTAGTGACATATTTGTGAGATCACTTGTGATATGTAGAACGTATAATCAAAAGAGAGATGCTATTTGGAATAGTTTAAATAGTAATAAGGAAGGACTCTGAACTCGCATATTTTAAGTTCTTAACCGTCAAACCAAAAAAAAGAGTAATAATATTCAAACATGGTTTTTGACCTAAACTAGTGATCTGGATTAATCATGAGAATAAAGGCAAAACACTTATCAACTAAGGCGTGAAAAATCGTTGTTCTTAAGGATAGATTTCACCACTTGGAAAATTATCTTGATGCAACAGATCAATGACGCCTACCTTCCACGACACTACAATCATTTCTCACAAAGGTGCATTCGTTGTGTGAGGAGTCAGGAACAACCTTAACTTAGATTGCTCAGAAAATATTTAAAGCACAAAATAAGAGTGAATATGCACAGAGAAAAGAGAGCAGTCATTCATAGGTGATGATTCGTTTAATTTTATATCTGATTCATTAATTTCGTGTTCAGTTCGTGTCGTGTCGAAAATTGACAGTCCTATACACAACAGAACCAGTCATATCACACCCTTGACCAATTTCTGATTTAACTCTCCAACCTTATACAAATTTTATTTATGTTATTTCCTTAAAATTTGTTTCCTCGTGTGCCCATAAAAAAAAAAGAGAAAAAAAGGATAGATTGCCTCCCATGTGAGCTGAGAATATCTAGTATGTTGAAATTAAGATGAGGAGAGATTGAAGATCTAACATTGGGGAAAAACATGAAAAACGAGGATTTACGTGGTTTGGCTTATACACACTGTTCTAGTTTCGAACAGTCAAACCCTTTTTTTCGCTCCCTTCTTTATTAACATTTTTGTTTTTGAAATATTCCTTATAGTAATTCACCAAAATAAAATTAAATAAATAAATCACTCTTTTATTTTGAGCCGGAGTAAGATGTTGGCCTGGCATATGCTTGCACCTTTCTCTCTTACAAATGAGTCACAGCGCAAATTTTTTTTGTTTTTTTGCTTGTAATAAAGGGGTACAGGAAATGAGAGTGCCAGAGACCACACCGATAGACTCTTATTGGTAGAATTATCGGGCCCTTGACCGCATCCATTCCAATTATTTTTCTCAGGAACAAATCTAATTAAATTAGTACAATAATTAACTACCAAGTTCTAATGTAAATTTTAAAACTTAAACCTCATGTGAAAAGTCACGGTGCAAATTTTACAAATGTTCATTTTCTTCTGTTTTGGGGAGCATCATAACCAAATCGTGGATCCTAAAAACACAAACTCTGGAAAAGATATCAAGAGTGAACCTTTGGACTGCAGGGCCACATAGACCAGTGTTTTAGTTATGGATAGATTGCACCATTGTGCTTTAACAGTTTGCCACTTATTATACTTTCACCCTCAAAATTTTAATTTTATCAATTTCATCCTCTATGTTAATACACTGACTAAGGAGTTATTTGATAAAACCACTTAAAACTTAAAACTTAAAACTTAAAACTGAATACTTTAAACACTTAATAAATTAAACTTGTTTGATAACTTAAAATTCATACTATTTAATATTTTAAACACTTCTTAAAAATAGGCTAAAATTTTAAATAGTAAGCTACCTACTTATCACTTATTGCTGAAAATATTAGTCAATAAAGATTTTATTAATTTTTCATAATGGACAAATATACTCTCACCATTATTTTGTCATCGCCACTACTACCATTGTACATCGCCAGCATCACCATCTTCGCTATCACCACTATCACCACCGTTGCTGCCACCATTACCATCCCACCCAACCATTGTGCCATTGTCACCACCACCATCGTTGTTGTTACTACTACCATTGTGCCACTGTCACCACACTACCACTATTGTCGCCACCACCACCATCACTATCACAATCGTCACTACAATTGTGTTGTTCTCATCACCACTACTATTATGTCACCGCCACCACCACCATTACCACTGTTGCCGCCACCATTATTGTGTCATTGCTACCACCACTACCATTGTCATTGTCGCCACCACCACCACAGTGTTGCCGTCATTACTACCATTGTGTTACTACCTCCACTACCACTAACATTACCATTGTCGCCACTATCACCATTATGTCACCACTACTGTTACTGCCACCTTTGTGATAGTGGTGATAGGAAAAAGACAATTGCGGAAAGATGGTTAAAGAGACCAGTAAAATTAGAATAATAATAATTTTTAAACCTTAACTCCTTATATTTGTCAAACAATTTGATTAATTTCAATACTTAAATTTCAGTTGATATCAAACAGTCTACAAATTAAAAAATTCAACATTTAACACTTAAAACTCGACATTCAATTTTTAGTATTCAACTTTTAATTTATCAAATAGCACCTAACTTTAATCCTTACTTCTAATTGCCATCCAAAAAAGTGATGAAAAAAGAGCACATGAGCTGCATGTGAGGAGTTTGAAGGGCAATACAGTCATTGTCTATACATTTTATGTGTGTCAAACAATGTCCAACGTATTATATGTCAATATTTAATATTTACGTGTAATGTACATAAGAAAGCAAGGTCACATCACGCTTTGCAAGCACCGAATAATTTCTCTCGACTCGGAGTATTTCATGATGTTAACCTTGGTCTAAATAGGACAGGACTAGGCTTGCCCATTGTCCAAACGAAGAAGAAAAGCATAAATGTAAATGTAAGTATCAAAGCTTAAGGGCCAACCACCACAAAAGACTTCTATGGTGAAAACAAGACATAATAATACCCTAATAGATAAAGACGTGAATTTGATCCTCACATTTTATAGAACAAGTGTATGTTCTGTTTCAGATGGACATGATCAATTAATTGAAAGAACAACCGGATTCACTGGCATCCTCAAATTTAGAAAGTATTCTTTTTTTTTTTTAACCTTTCACCGATTTACACACACTTCGCTAATCCCATTTTAATTCAGTCAAAAGTGGACTATCAACTTCGAAACTAAGATATTAATCAGAGATTTATTCCTCGGGTTCTGAGGATCCCTATAACAAAGTTTAGATTATCTCCCATTCACTTTTCTCTCGTGGTTGGCATAGAAATGACTTGAATAAAAAAAATTATCCAAGTCCACATACAAATGACTAATGTTCCTTTTAATAGGAAGGATGAAAAGTTGGAGGAGGGATACATCTTTTATCATTCAAGAATAAAAAATAAAAATGATAC